GAAGGCTAAGAATAGGTATGTGAGATATCTGTAAAAACATGCAAGATATAGACAGCCCAAGCAGGGATTTCCTCACCAACATCCAGTGTTCTAGACATATGGGCAAAGCAGAAAGATTAAGATGTAAGGGTAGTGCGAGGAAGCATGTCTTTGCTTAGTCAAGACCATGCATTTGGAACACACAATTCTTGGTGGAACAGGGAACCTCTCTCATCTAGGTTAGGTCTGGCTTGGTTTCATCTGACCTTTGCCAAAACCTTGGAAGGTGTCATTGGTCTCAGCTATTCTATGTAGCTCTGAGAAAAATATCCTGACAGTGACTGTTTCATTTAGAGATTGTGCATCTAGTACACATTTCAAAGGACAATGATTAAACATCTTGAGGCCACGTGGCTCAGTATATATCAGACTGTAAAAATAATTAGTTTACATCAGGACTTCGGACTTCTTCCTTCCTGCATTTTCTTCTCTTTATCCCTCTAGGTTCCTCTACTTCCCTCCTTTTACCTCCTTTCTCCTCTTATGCCTCCTTTACACCTTTCATTGTTTTCTCTTCTTCTTCTTCCAGCTTCCATCTTTCCTCTTAAATTGCTATAAAGTGAAACCACAGCATAATATCTTTCAGATAGCAAAGTGTGTTGCAGATAGCAAAGAAAAGATCTGTGGATCTTTAACTTAAAGAACACTGTTTTATTACTAGTGTTTGATATATATTTTTTTAGAACTAGGTTAAGTACTTTTTACTTGAGTGTACTTCAGAATTTTCTTTAAAAATGTGAATCAGTGAATCATAATAGAAAAAAGGGTCTCGTCATTTGCTCTAAGAGACTGTGAAGGCTAAAGTTAGAAACTCCCTCGAGAAGGTTTAGATAAATCCACGGATGATAGATTCAGATGGTTTATTAACGGCAAGTTGGGAGTGATCATCTTGAATCTCTCCCCCAGAGGCCAATGGCAGGGTAACATCTACCATATCCTGCCACTAAAACATTCCTGAAGAAGCATTGGTCAGATCCCATCCATTCTTACGCTCTTACCATAAGGAAACAAGTCCTTTTGGTTATTTTATCATTATTATTATTTTTTAGAGACAGAGTCTCACTCTGTTGGTCAGGCTCGCTCGAGTGCAGTGGTGTGATCACAGCTCACTGCAGCCTCAAATTCCTGGGCTCAAGCCATCCTCCTGCTTCAGCCTCCTGAGTAGCTGGGACTACAAGCATGTGTCACCACACCCGGCTATCTTTCTTTTTTTATTTTTTTTTGGAGAGAGAGGGTCTTACTATGTTGCTAAGGCTGGTCTCAAACTCTTGGCCTCAAGCGAGCGATCCTCCTGCCTTGGCCTCCCATAGTGCTGCGATTATTAAGCATGAGCCACCGCGCTTAGCCATGTTGTGTATTTTTTAGGAGGTCACTCTGTTGCTAATATACCTTTGGACATTTTAAGTATTGGGATTGCTGCCATCATGCTTGTACTGATAATCTATACTCTAAATTTTCCACATTTCTGTTCATCTCTTCATTTTGAATGCATTTTACTGATGTTTATCACTTCAAAGACAAGGGAGAAAAGTAGAAATGCAAATGAATCCATGCTATTATCTTCCAATCTTTTGGACAAACAATAAAGTGGAAGGTCCAAGGTGGCCTGTCAGTTTCCTGGACTCCACAATCAGAGCTAGACTGTAGGTCACTTGGGAAACAATGAAATGCTGGATAGCATCAATGCAGTTTATTGTCTAGTTGATCACAATTTAACAAATATGGCTCCCTTTAACACCTGGAAATTTAGCATACACACAACATGACTGGAAGCACATTCTTGAAGAAAAAGAATTACTAAAGGAAAAACCAATCACTCAAGCCCTTAGCAATACCACATTCATGTTAAAGAGACCATAAGGCACTGAATGCATTATTTTCTGTCTTGTGTTCAAGTTCAATCTGTGTAAACCCATTTGCTCTCAATTTAGAGGAGTGACTTATTTTAAATATCTTGTGAAGCTTGGAGTTCTCCCAGAAAGACATCCCTTTAGACAAATTACTCAGTGTGTATCAAGGTGATGTGTGGTGCAGTAAGCCAAATGCACGTCTATTGTCTTATTGAAGAGTTGTTTTTTTTAACACAATAAATATAATAAATGCGAAATTTGCTCTAAGCTTCAGGATGCCATTCTAAATGTGAATATTTACTTTAAAACAGCAAACTCTTACAGCATTTTGGTATTGCTTCATCTATCATAACCACACACAAAGTTAGGACCTCACTGATTTAGGGTTTTAATCCCTGTCGCCTCCAACAACTGCCTCCTGAACTGGCAGGAGCGAATTGTTTCTCTGGGCTCTAGCAAACAGACTTATGTTTGTACGTGGTAAGGGAAGGGGAGTTTCCAAGCAATCATCTGTGTGATGTTGGTCAAACCCTCTTGGAGACTTGGATTAGGTCATCTCCAATATTCCTTACGCCTCTAACATTTGGTGATCCTCTGTCTAAACTAAAACATTTTGCTAATTTCCAGTCATGTCTGTAAACCAAACCAAAAACAAGTCACAATCGATCCTGTCACTTTGGTTGAATGGCCAAAATAAAATGTCATTGCTTAATAAATAAAAAGTTCAAAAGGGAGGGCTTTGAAAAATAATTGCTTTATGTATGTTCTAAGTGTTTAGTTACTGGGAACAGACATTCTTTCTGGATATAACTTTTTTTACCCTGTTGAATCACCTGGATGATGACTTTAATTCTTCACTTAAACACGAACATTCACAGGATCACATGGAGTTCAGAATAGGGCTCCCAGCACTTGCATTAGTAGGTACCAAAAGTGGGTTGCATTGATTTCTGTTTGTGGGAGAAAGTAAGGCAGCCAGCGATGTACCTCAATTGACCAGCTTGTTGATTTTAATCCTTTGAAGATAATGGATGTTTTGTGGTGGAAATAAACACAGGACAAGGAATTAAAACACATGGCTCTACCTCTGCTGGCTGTGTGGACAAACCAGTTCCGTCTCTGATCTTCTGTTCCCTCATCTGCAAAATGAGATGCCTCACCTGACTCAGAAGGTTGTTAAGGATTCACCTGGATCATGCACATGAAAGCATCCTGTAAAATGTAGAGTGTGTGCTGGGCACGGTGGCTCATGCCTGTAATTCCAGCACTTTGGGAGGCCGAGGCGGGAGCATCACTTGAGGCCAGGAGTTCAAGACCTGTTTGGGCAACATAGTGAGACCCTGTTTCTACAAAAAATAAAAAAATTGGCTGGGCATGGTGGTGTGTACCTGTAGTCCCAGCTACTTGGGAGGGTGGGAGGATTACTCGAACCCAAGAGTTCAAGGCCACAGTGAACTATGATCGCGACACTGCACTCCAGCCTGGGTGACAGAGTGAGACCTTGTCTCAAAGAAACCCCCCAAAAGTAGAGCGTGACAAGTGTAAGAAATGCTGGAGATGTGGTTGAAAAAAATCCGTGGGCCAACATTGGGGGGAAAGAATAAAATCCAATTAAACTTTTTATCTCCTATTTTAATACAATTCCAGACCTATTTAATGTTCTTATTGTTAATGTTTTGAAATACATTCTTTCACCTAAGCAGTGGTTTGCATGACAAACCCAGACAACTGTGTCTTACTTTCCTTAGGACTGAACTATTTAGTTTGCCAATAGATTGAGGTCACTTCCGGTACACTTGATC